GCGCAGGCGCTGGCGCGCTTCATCCGCAGCCAGGACCTCCGCGAGCTGAAGGTGTGGACCAGCCACATGAGGAGAACCATCGAGACGGCCGAGGCGCTGGGCGTGCCCTACGAGCAGTGGAAGGCCCTCAACGAGATCGACGCCGTGAGCCCCACCCCGATTTTGGGTTGTTTTTTGGGGGGAAACACCCCAAATTAACCCCTGAACCCCCCCCCCAACGCCGCTGTCCCGCAGGGGGTCTGCGAGGAGATGACCTACGAGGAGATCCAGGAGAGGTACCCCAAGGAGCTGGCGCTGAGGGACCAGGACAAATATCGCTACCGCTACCCCAAGGGCGAGGTGAGCCCCGAAAATGCCCCCAAAAAATTGGGGGGCAGAGGTTTTGGGGACACCCCCTAAACCTTCAACGCAGTCCTACGAGGACCTGGTGCAGCGGCTGGAGCCGGTCATCATGGAGCTGGAGCGGCAGGAGAACGTTCTGGTCGTCTGCCACCAGGCTGTGATGCGCTGCCTGCTGGCCTACTTCCTGGACAAGAGCGCAGGTGACAGCCGGGGACAACCAGGGGACAGTTGGGGACAACCAGAGGACAGCTGGAGACAGCCAGGGGACAGCTGGGGACAGCCAGGGGACAGCTGGGGACAGCTGGGGAAAGTTGGGGACAGCTGGGGACAGCTGGGGACAGACAGGGGACAGCTGGGGACAGCTGAGGACAGCCAGGGGACAGCTGGGGACAGCTGGGGACAAACAGGGGACAGCTGGGGACAACTGGGGACAGCCAGGGGACAGCTGGGGACAACTGGGGACAGCCAGGGGACAGCTGGGGACAGCTGGGGACAAACAGGGGACAGCTGGGGACAACTGGGGACAAACAGGGGACAGCTGGGGACAACTGGGGACAGCTGGGGACAGCCGGGGACAGCCGGGGACAGCTGGGGACAACCAGGGGACAACCAGGGCACAGCTGGGGACAGCCAGGGGACAGCTGGGGACAGCTGGGGACAAACAGGGGACAGCTGGGGACAGCCAGGGGACAGCTGGGGACAACCAGGGGACAGCTGGGGACAGCTGGGGACAACTGGGGACAGCTGGGGACAGCCAGGGGACAGCTGGGGACAGCCAGAGGACAACTGGGGACAACTGGGGACAGCTGGGGACAGCCAGGGGACAGCTGGGGAAAGTTGGGGACAGCTGGGGACAACCAGGGGACAGCTGGGGACAACTGGGGACAGCTGGGAACAGCTGGGGACAGCTGGGGACAGCTGGGGACAGCCGGGGGACAGCTGGGGACAGCTGGGGACAGCTGGGGACAGCCGGGGACAGCTGGGGAAAGTTGGGGACAGCTGGGGACAACCAGAGGACAGCTGGGGACAGCCAGGGGACAGCTGGGGACAGCTGGGGACAACCAGAGGACAGCTGGGGACAGCTGGGGACAAGCAGGGGACAGCTGGAGACAGCCAGGGGACAGCTGGGGACAGCTGGGGACAGCCAGGGGACAGCTGGGGACAGCCAGGGGACAGCTGGGGACAGCTGGGGACAGCCAGGGGACAGCTGGGGACAGCCAGGGGACAGCTGGGGACAGCTGGGGACAACTGGGGACAGCTGGGGACAGCTGGGGAAAGTTGGGGACACACCTGGGGACAGCTGGGGACAGCTGGGGACAACCAGGGGACAACCAGGGGACAGCTGGGGACAACTGGGGACAGTTGGGGACAGCCAGGGGACAGCTGGGGACAACTGGGGACAAACAGGGGACAGCTGGGGACAGCTGGGGACAGCCATGGGACAGCTGGGGACAGCCAGGGGACAGCTGGGGACACCTGGGGACAACCAGGGGACAGTTGGGGACAGTTGGGGGACAGCTGGGGACAACCAGGGGACAGCTGGAGACAGCCAGGGGACAGCTGGGGACAACTGGGGACAGCTGGGGACAACGAGGGGACAGCTGGGGACAGCCAGGGACAGCTGGGGACATTTGGGGACAGCTGGGGACAGCCCAGAGCTGCAGTGGCCACCCGAGTTCCCTCAAACCCCTCCCCAGATGAGCTGCCCTACCTCAAGTGNGGGACATTTGGGGACAGCTGGGGACAGCCCAGAGCTGCAGTGGCCACCCGAGTTCCCTCAAACCCCTCCCCAGATGAGCTGCCCTACCTCAAGTGCCCCCTGCACACGGTGCTGAAGCTGACGCCCGTGGCCTACGGTGAGTGGGGTCACCCCAAAAAGGGACTGTTCCCCAAATCCACCCCAAATTTGGGACAATCCCCCCAAAAAGGGACTGTTCCCCAAATCCACCCCAAATTTGGGGACAATCCCCCCAAAAAGGGACTGTTCCCCATGTCCCACCCCAAAATTGGGACAATCCCCCCAAAAAGGGATTGTTCCCCATGTCCCACCCCAAAATTGGGACAATCCCCCCAAAAAAATGATTGTTCCCCATGTCCCACCCCAAATTTGGGGACAAATTCCCCCAAAAAGGGACTGTTCCCCATGTCCTACCCCAAAATTGTGACAATCCCCCCAAAAAGAGATTGTTCCCCATGTCCCACCCCAAAATTGGGACAATCCCCCCAAAAAGGGACTGTTCCCCNGACAATCCCCCCAAAAAGAGATTGTTCCCCATGTCCCACCCCAAAATTGGGACAATCCCCCCAAAAAGGGACTGTTCCCCCTGTCCCACCCCAAATTTGGGACAATCCCCCCCAAAAAGGGACTGTTCCCCATGTCCTACCCCAAAATTGTCACAATCCCCCCAAAAAGTGATTGTTCCCCCTGTATCCCACCCCAAAATTGGGACAAACCCCCCAAAAAGGGACTGTTCCCCCTGTCCCACCCCAAAATTGGGACAATCCCCCCAAAAAGGGATTGTTCCCCCTGTGTCCCACCCCAAAATTGGGACAAATCCCCCCCAAAACCGCTCCCTTCTTCCCCTGGAACAGGGTGTGAGGTCGAGCCCGTCTTCCTCAACATCGAGGCAGTGAACACCCACCGGGCACGACCCCAGGTCAGAGCCCCCATCCCCAAATCCACCCCAAAAAGTGGGTGCAGAGCACCTTAACCCCCCCAAATAACTGAGGGGAGTGTTAAATTGTGGGGAGATCCCCCCCAAAACCCCCCATTTCCACCCCACAGAACGTCGACATCAACCGCACCGCAGCCGATGCCCTCAACACCGTCCCCGAGCACTTCTGAGGGGTCCCTTGGGGGAAAAGGGGAGCCCCCACCCCAAAATTAAACCTTGGACAACCAAGCAGAGCCTGAAAATTTGGGGAGGGGGCTGCAAACCAACGGGCTGCCTTTATTTTTTTGGGGTGGGGTGGGGAAGGGGGTCAGGTTGTGGCTTTGTTGGCCTCGCTGTATTGGCTCGCCCAAAATTTGGGGTCTTTGCCCTGCATCTGAACGGGAGAAAAACAGGGGAGGGGGCATCAAATCGAGCCCCCCAAAAAAACTCAGAGATGCCCCCCACGAGCACGGCCTCACCTTGGCCACGAAGTTCAGCACGTCCTTCTTGGAGGTTTCCTTCTCTGCCCGTGGGCCCCACTGGTACTTGAATTCGGGGGGGTCCGTCAGGGGGATGGCGGTGGTCTCCAGGTACCTGCGGAGGGCTGGGTGGTTTTTGGGGTGCACAAAGGTTTTTTTTGGGTTTTTTTGGGGGTGTCCAGCACTGCCCCGACCCCGTGAGGAACCCTTGGAGCCACGGGGTGTGGGGGGCTGCGGGTTTTTGCTCTGCGGTGTGGTATAAACAGCCCGGCCAAGGCTGGCGCCGAGGCCGCTCTGGGCACACCGGGAAGGGACATGGGGGGACCCCCACGCTGCACCCCCAAATTCCAGCCCGCTCCCAACTCACTTCTGCCGCACAAACTCCTCCGTCACCAGCTTCCGGACGTCCCCGAAGACGCCGTGCTGCTTCCTAAGGAGGGGGGCTAGTGAGGGGTGGCACTGAGTAGCCCACCCACCCATTTCGGGGGTCCCCGGCCGGATCCTACCCGGGGTAGACACGGAGCAAGTGCAGGAATTCCCACAGAGCACCTGGAAAAACAAAAGGGGTGCAAAGTGAGCGGGGTGCAAAGTGGAAAAAGTGGGGGACGGGGTGGGGGTTTTGGGGAGAACTCACTGTCTTTGACGGAGTTGCCCTTCATGAAGATGAAGCTGAGGATGACTAAGAGGAGCCCCATCTTCTCCTGCTCCTTGCCCCTGAGGCGCACACAGGGGTGGTCAGGCGGGTGGGTTGGTGGCCCTCCTAAAATTTGGGGACAAAGTGCCCCAAAAAGGGACTGTCCCCCCCCAGAAACCCTCCCCAAAATGGGGATAATTACCCCTAAAAAGGAAATTTGTGTCCCTCATAAATTGGGGAAAAAGTGCCCCAAAAAGGGACTGTCCCCCCCCCAGAAACCCTCTCCAAAATGGGGATCATTTCCCCTAAAAACGAAATTTGTGTCCTATGTAAAATTGGGGACAAAGTGCCCCAAAAAGGGACTGTCCCCCCAAGAAACCCTCCCCAAAATGGGGATCATTTCCCCCAAAAAGGAAATCTGTGGCCCTCCTAAAATTGGGGACAAAGTGCCCCAAAAAGGGACTGTTCCCCAAATCCACCCCAAATTTGGGGACAATCCCCCCAAAAAGGGACTGTTCCCCCTGTGTCTCGCCCAAAAATGGGGACAATCCCCCCAAAAAGGGACTGTTCCCCAAATCCACCCCAGATTTGGGGACAATCCCCCCAAAAAGGGACTGTTCCCCATGTCCCACCCCAGATTTGGGGACGAACCCGCCAAAAAGGGATTGTTCCCCCTGTCCCACCCCAAATTTGGGGACAATCCCCCCCAAAAAGGGACTGTTCCCCAGATCCACCCCAAATTTGGGGACAATCTCCCCAAAAAGGGACTGTTCCCCGTGTCAGCCCTGTGGGGCTGGAATCACCCAGGGGTGCACCCATGGGTGCTGCATGCCCTCACCTGCACAGGAGCTCGCCCTGGGCGCAGGGCAGGTTATTGATGAGGATGTAAATGTGGCGTTTGGCATCGATCTCCACCAGCTGCAGCCCAAAAACCTGCGGGAGGACAAGGATTAATCCAAAGGTTAATCCCCCCCAAAACCTTCCCCCTTTCCCTGCTGCCCCCACCTCCTGCAGGGTCCTGTCTGCCCTTTTAATGATTTCCGAGTAGGCATCCTTGTATTCCCGGATTATATTCTTCAGGATATCTATGGAAAACACGCAGGGAACGCTGAGAGAGGTCGGAGCTCTGAGCCAGGAAGGATTTCGGGGTTTAAACACCGCGGAAACGCACCTGCCCTCTTGATAGGAATCTTCTTCTGGTCCTTGACGAGCAGGAACTGCACCAGCTCGCTCACCTGTGGGGACAAGGAGCAGGGAAGGGCGAGGGATGATAGCAAAAGGATGCAGAGAAAGGGACTGCGGGAGCAGAGGGGATCACCGCAATCCACCTTCTGGTTCAGCTGCTCCGGCGAGCGCCGCTCCACCTGCGTCGGGATGAAATCATCCTCCCCGTCGGGCAGCTGAGGGGAAACGACGGGAAAAGCGGGGCGAGGTGATGACAGAGAGCGGCAGCAGCCAAAAGAGCGAATGAGGGGAGAACGGGGGGCGTGGCGGGGCAGCCGCCTCTCACCTGAGAGCAGCCGAGCCCTTTGCTGCGCTTGCGCTGAGACATCCCTCACGGCAGCTCTGAGAGGAAAAAAGCACCGGATGGGTTAAAACAGCCACCAGAGCACTCCTGAGGCCGCCCCGCGCGTTCCACCCTCAGCAGGGCCGCAAAAAAGAAAAAAAAAACCCATCCAAGGCCCGGACAACGACGCGGCCGGGACGAGAACCGTCCCGCACCGCGCTCCGCCCGCGACTGCGCCGGCCCCGCCCACACCCGCCGGCCCCGCCCGCGCCAGCGCCGCTTCCCATTGGTCCAGCCGCCGCACGCCCCGCCTACCATCCCAACCCCGCGTCGCGATTGGTCGAGAGCCCGAGTTCGCCCCGCCCTCCCCCCGGCGCGCGCCGGGCGAGACTCGCGCTCTTCCCCCCCCCGCACCAACCTGAGGGGGGCGAAAAAGGCGGGAAAAGAGCGGCGCGCGCGGGCCCCGCCCCCTTCCCCTCACGGCGGCGAAAATGGCGGGAAAAGAGCGGTAAAAAGGTTATAAAATTAATAACTTAATTATAGCGACAAATAATTAGAGTTAGGACAGCTGCAAGCCGATAAAAAACAGAGATTTACTGTTTTTATAACCATTATGTTGGTATTATTAAACTTTGTTTGCTGGGGGGGGTTGGGGTCCCCACCCTGTGAAAAATGTGAATTTTATGATTGGTTTTTCGCAAATATTGAAATGAATATTACACGCGTAATCAATTCTCTTCAGGAGCGCATTAAATATATTTTCAGGTTTGTAAAACCACCGATCACTTGGTTTATAAAATTTAAAAACTTAGTAGTAAAACGCTTGTTAAAAAATACAATTATTTGCTTTTTAGCATCTTGGAATCGCTGTAACTGTAAGTATTTTATTACTGTAATTGCATTACTATTTTTATAGTATTTTTATGTATTTTAAATTTATATTTATTATTTTTATAGCCATTTTATTCTTATTAGATTTATAAAAATTTAAAAATTTTTCACAG